GTTGCCATACAGATACTTGAAAATGTAAAAGTGGCCTTGGAACTGGGTAATGGGAAGAATTTGAAAGAGTTTGAGAAGGAGGCTGGAAAAAAAAACTGTATTGCTGTGCATGGGGCATTAAAGGTGATTCTGGTGAGTGATCAGAGGGAAAAAAAGAGGAGGAAAAGTTTGGAACTTCTCAAAGATTGGTTAAATGATTGTGACCAGAAGGTTTGTAGAAATATGGACAGTAGCCGGGCTCGGTGGCTCAGCCTGGAATCCCGCGCCTTTGGGAGGCTGAGGTGAGTGAATTGCCTGAGCCTGCGGGTTTGAGACCCGCCTGGGCAGGCGAGACCTCATCTCTACAATAAATAAAAAAATTAGCCGGGCGTGGTAGTACGCGCCTGTAATTTCGGCTACTCGGAAGGCTGAGGCGGAAGGATTGCTGGAGCCCAGCAGGTTGAGGCTGCGGTGGCCGGGAGCAGCCACGGCACTCCAGTCTGGGTGACAGTGAGACTCCAACTCAAAAAAAAAAAAAAAAAAGAAATATGGACAGTAAAGGCCATTCTGATGAGGTATCAGACAGAAATAGAGAGGAATTTATTTGGAAACTGAAGCAAAGGTAACTCATATTACACCTTAGCAGAGAACTTGGCTGCTTTTTGTTTTTGCTTTAGGGCTTTGTGGAAGGCCAAACTGGAGAGTGCCGAACTAGGATATCTGGTAGAAGGAATTTCTATGCAGCAAAGTACTCAAGAAGAGATACAGTTACTTTTAGCAGCTTACTTTCAATTATGGCGGCAAAGGAATGATCTAAAGGCAGAATTTATAATTAACATGGAAGCAGAGCATAAACATTTGGAAAATTTGCAACCTGGTTTGCAGCAGAGAATAAAAGAGCATTTTCAGGAGAGGACTCCAAAGATGTGGAGGAGTGACGTGTTGCCAAAGATAAGATTAGATTATACTTGGAAGGCTGAGGGCAAAGGATCACCTAAGCCCACTGGGTCAAGGCTGCAGTGGCCGTGAGCATGCAACCACATTCCAGCATGGGCTACAAGAGTGAGACTCCAACTCAAAAAAAAAAAGAGATTAGATTAGAAGACAGCCAGGTGCTATTCCTTGAGAGAGAGAGTAGGGAAAGGTCTCAAAGACGTTTCAGAAATCTTCAAGGCTGCCCTCCTGTCATAGGCTCAGAGGCCTAGGAGTGCAGAATGTTTCTGGGGAACAGAATTAGGGCACAGCTACCCTGTGCTGCCTCAGAACCCTGCTTCTGCACCCCTGGCCGCCATGGCTCAAACGGCCCCAGAAATGACTTGGGCCAGCACTCCATCGAGCACAAGTCGTGAGTTTTGGCAGCAACCACATTGATGTGTTATTAATTCTGCAGGCCCATAGAATGCAAGCGCTATGGTGGCATGGTTTCCTCTACCAATTTCCAAGGATGTAGGGAGAAACCTGCAGGCACAGGTCTAAACCTGATGCAGGGGTGGATCTGCCACAGAGAATCTCCACAGGGCGATGCCTAGTGAAGCTTCAAGGACAAGGCCATCAAGGGGGAGCCACTGGCAGTATGTAACCTCAGCCTGCTCAGCCTGAAAAAAAACAGACATCCGACTCCAACCTGTGGGAGCAGCCACCTGGGATATGCTGAGCGAGGCCATGGACGCTGTGCTACTGAAGGCCTTGGGAGCCTACTCTTCTCACCTATGTGCTCAAGATATAGGACATGGAGTCAAAGAAGATCAGTCTGGAGCTTTAAGATTTAACGTCTGGCCAGGCATGGTGGCTCAAACCTGTAATCCAAGCACTTTGGGAGGCCGAGGTGAGGGGATTGCCTGAGTCCCTGGGTTTGAGAATAGCCTGGGCAACTTGGTGAGACCTCATCTCTACAATAAATCAAAAAATTAGCCGGGCTTGATAGCGTACATCTGTAGTTCTGGTGGAAGGATCGCCTGAACCCAGCAGGGCAATGGTGGGGTGGTTGTGAGCATGCCACTGCACTCCAACCTGGGCAACGGAGTGAGACTCCAAATCAAAAAATAAAAAAATAAAAAGATTTAACGTCTGCCCTGCTGGATTTTAGACTTGCACGGACCCTGTCATTCCTTTCTTCTGGCCAATTTCTCCCTTTTAGAATAGGAGTATTTGCCAACTGCCTATACCACATTGTACCTTGGAAGTAAATAACTTGTTTTTGATTTTACAGGTTCATAGCTGGAAGGAGCTTGCCTTGAGTCTCAGATGAGACTTTGGACTTTGGATTTTTGAGTTGGTACTGAAACAAGTTAAGACTTCTGACTGTTGGAATGGAATGATTGTATTTGTATATGAGAAGGACATGAGTTTTGAGGGGCTAGGGAAGAACGTTATAGTTTGGATATGGTTTATTTGTCCCCACCAAAACTCATGTTGAAATTTGATTCCCGCTGTGGTGATGTTGGGAGGCAAGATCTAGTGGGAGGTGTTTGGGTCATGGGAGTGGACCCGTCATGAATGGATTGGTGCTGTATGGGAATGAATTTGTTCCCTTGAAAGTGGACTGTTATAAAGCTGGACATCCCCCCAGTTTTGCCTCCTTGCATGTGTCTGCTTCCCCTCTCACCTTTTTGACCATGTTATGATGCAGGATGAAAGCCGTTGCCAGAAGATAGGGGCCATGCCCTTGAATTCCCGGCCTGCAGAACCATGAGCTAAATAAGCCTCTTTTATTTATAACTTACTCCCAGATATTCTATTATAGCAACACAAAATGGACTAAGGCACCAGGCAATTACAACAGATATAAACCTATTACTATGAGAGTATGAAAGAGGGCCTCCTAACCTAGTGTGAGGTGAAAGGCAGACAGCAGTGGACCTTTCTTTCATTCAGTCAGTATTTAGTGGACCCCTACTATGTCCTAGGTACTATACTGGCAGTGGGAACATGGCAATGCATAAGACATGGGCTCCAGGAGAGTGTTGATGGTGTGAAATTGCTTTGGTGGGGAATGGGAGAGGAAGCAGACAAGGTATTTAGGTTTGTCTGCTGGCCCAAAGGACCATCACCCTTTCCTCTGGGTAGTGCTACAGGCACACTTCAGGTATCCCTAGAGCTATTGGTTAACATAGCCCCTTTTCAGACAAGATAACAAATTATTAGATTGTAAATTTCTTTTACATCCCAGTCCTGAGTATTTACATCTGCTTACTTTGATTAGATTGAATATTTCTTAAATCAACTTCTGTCACATATATACAAACTTTTTTAGAGAGTTACAGTTTGAGAGTTATCTTACTATAAGTGACCCTCCCTTCCCTATTTACTGATTTTGTCCTATCAAATATCACCTATAAAACATTTTTACCTATAAGGCACCTGTGGCATTTCAAAACAACTTTATTGAATTAAAATTGACATGAAATAAGCTGTACATATTTGAAGTGTACAGTTTGATAAATTTTAACATTTGTATATACCTGTGAAAACATCACAATCAACATACTGAAATATTATATCTATCATCCCAAAAAGTTTCCTGCTTCCCTATCATCCCTAGGTAACCACTGATCTGCTTTCTGATACTACAAATCCATTTGCAATTTCTAGTTTTGTTTTGTTTTTTTGAGTTGGAGTCTCATTCTGTCACCCAGACTGGAGTGCAGTGGCCGCTCCCGGCCACCGCAGCCTCGACCTACCGGGCTCTGGCGATCCTTCCGCCTCAGCCTTCCGAGTAGCCGGAATTACAGGTGCGCGCTACCACACCCGGCTAATTTTTTTATTTTATTGTAGAAATGAGGTCTCACCTGCCCAGGCGGGTCTCGAACCCGCGGGCTCAGGCAATCCACTCACCTCAGCCTCCCAAAGGTGCGGGATTACAGGCTGAGCTACCGAGCCTGGCTCAATTTCTAGTTTTATATAAGTACATTCATACAGTATATACTCTTTATGACTGACTTCTGCTAACCACCGTAACTATTATAATTTGTTGCACCTGTCAATAATTTGTTTCTTTTTTAAATTTTTGAGTTGGAGTCTTACTTTGTCGCCCAGGCTGGAGTGCAGTGGCATGCTCACAGCCACCCCAGCATTGACCTTCTGGGCTCCAGTGATCCTTCCACCTCAGCCTTCTGAGTAGCTGGAACTATAGGCATGCACTATCATGCCCAGCTCAGTTCTTGATTTATTGTAGAGACAAAGTCTCACCACATTGCCCAGGCTGGTCTCAAACTCGTGGACTCAGGCAATCCTCTTGCCTCACCACCCCCCCAAAGTGCTGGGATTATAGGCTTGAGCCACTGCACCCAGACAATTCGTTTTTTTTAATTTGCTTTTTATATGCACACACTGTAACACAGTAGTCCTTCACCTTTTTTGGTTCACAGATCCCTGAGAAATTTTACTTAGTAAATGCAAGCTATTTCTCAGAAAAAGAAAAGACACATACAAACACATAATGTTTTTGATCCTAAAGTTAATACAATGTATGAATATACCAGATTAGTTTCCTAATTCGCCCATCCAATTGTGGACATTGGGGTTGTTTCCACGTTTTGGGCTATTACACAAAAAGCTGTTGTAAACAAGTATCTGGGCATATTTTACTTACATGTGATATTTACTGTTTGACTTATACTTACACTGATTACATACTATATTATTTATAGTATATTTATATTTACATTGATTGTATCCTATCTTAAATTCAACATCTATTGTGTTAAGCCATACTAGATATTTTCGTAATGTTAGATTTATGGTGCATTTTCTAGGCCAAAAATGAGGAAAATATATGACTGAAATTTTTTTTTTAGATCAGCACTGTCCTGGAACTTGACAACATAATTATTATAGTTTATTGTTTTCTCAGTTTGCTGTGTCTCATAGACTCATATCTTTTCTCTTTAAACACCTTGACAGCAAACACCAAGTCCTTTTTCACGGTAACTAGAATAATGTTAAGCTATAGTAGTCATCTGTTAAATTTTTAATAATTTTCTGGTTTTATTTGTCAAAATAATCATTCTTTTGCCTCACAGATTTCTTCCAAGTTGAAATCCACCTGGTATTCATCATCATCCTTCTCTTCTTCACTGGTGAGTTTATTTGGCATAAAGGCTGACTTCTGAGAAGGAATCCAGTAAAATTTTTGGATAGTCCCCTTTATTTTCTTTACAGAATAGTGATCAGAGTGTATGTGAAATTTTCTATCTTGTTTTCTTATCTAATATTTTGTCTACTATGTTGTAAGCATTGTCAGTATTGCAATATGGTCTTTATACTTATAATTCTAATGGCTGTGCATATTCCATCAAGTAAATGAACCCTGAGTTAACTAATAATGTTCCTATATAACTTGTGGATTGCTTCAGTTTTTCAAGATTATAAAACATTTATTTATTTACTTTATTTATTTATTTATTTATTTATTTATTTATTTATTTATTTTTTAAGTTGGAGTCTCACTCTGTCACCCAGACTGGAGTGCAGTGGCCGCTCCTGGCCACCGCAGCCTCGACCTGCTGGGCTCCGGCGATCCTTCCGCCTCAGCCTTCTGAGTAGCTGGAACTACAGGCACGCGCTACCACGCCCGGCTAATTTTTTTTTTTGATTTATTG